CTGTTCCTATCCTGCACAAAATACCACGGTATCCTTTTCCTAGAACAGTCGCAGAACGCGCCCCCCACCCTCTCAACGTCTGCATATGGCAAGCACAAACGAGGACCGGAAGAACACCCGCCTCCCCCTTTCCCAGCACCGAGGACAACCACATTCACCCCGAACCAAACAAACATACAAGTGAGCAGCATCAGACCGCTCAGCGAGGGGTTGTGCACAGACCGTTCAGCGAGGGCATCGTACCGCACTCGCAGAATGCCGCTTTGTATTTGTACTGTATATTGCAGCCCAATATCACTGCTTGAAAAAGATATGTGCAGGGCGGGGACGGAAGGGGGGGGAGGGGGAGGGGGAGGCAGGAACAGCGGACGGAGGGAGTGTGGTAGGGGCAGGGAAATTTGATGGGGTGCTGCAAAGTTTGATGCAAAAACGCATGATCGCACCTGCTCGCCCGGTGTGTTCCAGCCTGGGTATGTCTAGTCAAGCATCACATTCCGACTTACTCCGCGGGCGGATTAAAACCAGTCGCGGGCCGCCGGTTGCCCAACTGTGCTCTGCAGTGTAGTACACCAAATGATAGATGCCTCTGATCACCGAATAAACAAAAAAGGCTAACAGGAAGATTTACAACATGAGTGCGTACTGTAAACTGTAAGGCAACGATACGGCATATGTACGATCCCAACGACAACCTAGGTGCGTGTCGTTGGTTACAATTAGTAAAATTATCCTTTTGTATATAGAATCTCGTGATTGGAAAACTTTGTAAATTACAGTTTCAGAATGCAACTTTTAATCGTTTTGATCAGCTCTGTTTGCGGTACGTTTGCATTCCGTCAGCAAAGCATTGGTGTCAAAGGACAGTTAGTTTGTGGCTCAAAGCCACTCAGCGACGCAAGGATCAAAGTGTGGAACAAAAATAAGATTGGTTAGCCTGTCCAATTTTCGTTTCTTTTTTGCTGAATGTCTTCTTAGAAAGTACTTTGTCTGTTTGAATTTTCTACTACTATCTGTCTGTATTCCACAGTCTCTATATAAACCCATTTCTCTTTTTTTTTTCTTCGATAGACGCGCGATCATCCTCTCAGTGGTCAACTGTCCATCAGCCCATGCCGCCTTTCGTCCACTTATCTAAATTGTTCACTGAATCAATCCAAAAAAAGTTTTTAGGGACCTTGAGATTATACCGCATTCTTTAACATAATACTTTTCTAAGTTCTGGCTTATGGTTTTCTGAATTCGACTTCGCATTTCAATGGCTTCTTGTTGGTCATATATCACGAGCAACACGATTCATGCTATCTTTAAGTGCAGGCCATCATTCCTGTAATAAATAACAAGTGCAGTGCGGTAAATGGAAAAAGGCGGACAAAAACTTTATCGGAAACATTCGGTTAGCTCAGGAAGTGTTCTATGTATTGAGTATTGGTCTCCTGTTCACCGAAAATTGAGCAATAGTTTCATCTAGAAGTGAATTTCCTTCTTTTATTGCGCAATTTCAGGCACAGACGATCAAATAATAGATGTACGAACGGATGCTGGTGGCTATTTCAATGCTACAGGTGGCATAGGATCGTTTTTCGACATGAACCCGCACTTGAAAATTTACCACACCTGTAACCACGAACTGGGCTTTTTTGGAATCAAAAAGGTTAATCCCAAAATTTTTTGCACAAAGTAACAACATACAAATGGTTTCTGATCAATTAAGTGAATTATCACCCTGAGCATATTTGAACTATCAAAGACTCATCAACAAATTTGCACGTGAAAATAAAATTCGTTGACAAACAAGGAAGAATAGAGATTGACAGAATGTGAAGCTAGGAGGCAACTGTTCCCATAAAGCTTTCACTGCGTACTTAAATAAAGGGGATTAGAGAGTTCAGCACAGACGGTAAAGAACTTCAACTGCTTATTTCCAGGACTATATAGTGCTAGTTGTGCAAAACTGCTAAAAGTTGCAGGATCTGCTAAGTAAGCCGAGCACCAAAATAAGGCCGAAAATTCGTAATAGGGAAATGAATTTGTATCAACTTTGCATGAAACTAGAAAAAAAGCCGGACTTGTAAACGCATGCCTACTTCGGAGCAGATATTGCAGAAGGACGGCGGCAGGAGAGCTAAACAAAAGCGAAGAGCTGGACGGACTGCTTCACAGGAATTTATGAAACTTCTATCAAGCAAAAACTATATCGCAAAATAGAAGAACTCTTCAATACTACCATCATCATTGTGCTAGTTTATGGATGCAAAAAGTGCAGTATCCTATTCGCGTGGAGGAAAACAAACTAGCAGCGGCGCAACGGTCAAGGGGAAGTGAATAGTTTTTGGCGTGCCCTACGTGGGAACCGCGTAGGTAAG